GATTGAGCTTAATAGGGCGGAAATTAGATCAAAAACCCTACTGATGTTTTCTTTGAAGCCATACGTTGAAAATAAGTTCAAATTCCGTGGTAATTCGTTTTAAGTGTTGATGAAGAAATGGAAATGCTTTACCAGTTTTTGGAACGTTATTAAAAAAAATAAAGTGCAAATGAAAGTGGTTGGTTTTCTCTAAAAAAAAAGTAGAAGGGTCTGTGCCTAAGGGCACGAACGGAAGCTTGACGTAGGACCGCTAGTGGACGGAATAAATGTGAAGAGCATTTAGTTCTTTTAATTGATCAATTATCTATTATCTCAACTCTACCGTTTTTGAATTGTAGGCGTACCAAATTTGTAGTAATTTTTTCAAAGAGAAAGTTGATTAAGAGAATCAATCAAAATCACTTGCACCCCTGCTTCCAAGTTTGGTTACAAGATTACAACTCTGGAGAGCATTTTGTGTGGTCCTTGGGGGCTTGTGGTTCTGAATATGGACAAACGATAACAGATAAATTCTATTCCAACTCTTTACTGATGTAAGCTTGATGGCCCTGAAAAGCTGCTACTGCTGCTATTGCTGTTCACCACGCCGTCCGAAGCAAAAATGAGCCAATGCCATACAGCAGCGCTCTTTTATATCTTTTCAGGTTAAAGCAGAATGATGTGCAACCAAGTGGTATAAAAGCTACAATAACTCCTCCCATTATGAGTAGTTTGCTATCAAGTAGCGACACTGGCTCTTTTCCTTTTGCGTACACGGCGAATGAGAACGACCCAAATTTGAGTTTAGTTCACTCATAATCACCAAAAGTGCAGGAACTCAGCGATGAGTAAATTTGTCTCATGGTTTCCTGTGGAAAACCTAAAAAATCTGCCAGAAAATGAGGAAATTGACGAAAATTTTATTCAGTCTCGGAGTAGTATCAATAGACTGAGTGAATCCAATCTTTACTTTTCTAAAATTCGGGAATTTTTCCCAGGAAAATCCTGGAAAAACCTGGGAAAAGATGAGGCAAATTTACTCATCGCTGAGTTCGTGCACTTTATTTCTTATTTCTGAGATAACTAAACTCAAATTTGGGTCGATCTCATTCGCCGTGATATCACCTTGGAAGATATCGGCGCCGTTGGTTAGCGTGATTACCTCTCATCCCAGCAGGCCTGGGTTCAATCTCAGCCGCACCGGCATGTTCTGAGGCATAACATATCTGATCCCACCTTCCTTCGGGAAGTAAAGCCGTTGGTCCCCTGTTCATGAGTTGATGGGTCGATATGTAGGGTCCAGGTGTGGGAGCTGGGAGGCAGCATTGGAGCTCAGTAGCATTGGAGCTCAGTACGGAAAACAAATCTCGCGTCACTTTTCAATAGGTCCTATATACATTGATCAATTCTCTTCATCGACACTCTCTTTTGTAAATAGCTCGGCTTCACAAATGTTTCCTGCCGTCTTCGTCGAATTAGATGCTAGATTGATGCTTCTTCCATCGAAAACATCCGGCCGTGGGGATTCAAAGTTGATCAAGGTTGAGCAAAATAATTTGTACCCCTGCTTCGAGTTTGATTACATGAGCATTTTGTGTGGTCGTTGGTTCTGAATGTGGACAAACAGGCAGATGAATTCTATTCCTACTCTTTACTGTAATAAACTTGGTTGCCCTGAAAAGAGCCGTTTTGTTGCCAAAGTTGGTGATGATTTAACCTCCGAAACCAAACAGAGTGCGTATCTGTCACTTCAAAACGTAGATGACATCCATGGCCACTTACGCTTGGCGTGTTTAGTGTAGGTGACAGCATCACGGATCTCATTTTTCAGGAACACCTTCAGCACACCTCGTAAATCAGACCGGCGAGCCAGACGACGGATGGTAGTTATCTCGAAGAATTTGCGTTTGGTTCTGAGTATGGCGATGAGTGTGCAAAATATTACGCAATTCCATCCTCCCTATTCGCACGCGCCCGAGGATCGGAGGCGAATGCCACTTCGACTTGTTTCGTCTACTTACTACTCTCTGACGACTGTGCTGGGGAAGCAGCATATGCATGTAGATAATTGGTGGATTTGTTAGTTAATTCGACGATTTTGGACAAAGCTGGACATTTACCAGTTTTTCAATAGTTTCTTGTTGAAAATCAACATTCGGAAGCATTGCTATCGACGCGTTGCCATATTTCTGATCGATTGGAAATAAAATTATTGAAATTGGACCTGCGGCCGCTGAGTTATTAACGTTCAAAATCTTTCTTAATTTGTTACATGTTCCATTTTCGGTTTTCACAAAGTGTACCGCCATATAGAAATCAAAGACGTAGTCCTACGTCAAAATGAAAGTACACCTTTTAAACTATTCTATCGAAAGAAAAAAACTACCTGTGGCTCAGACCATCAAGAGTTGGGCCCACTTCTTTTATATAGTTCAAAGCTGTTTTTTCATGTTTCTTCTGTATTTTGATTCTTAAAAATGTCATACAACTATAGCTAAAAAAAAACGTTCATTTTTTTTTATATTTTTCCATGCAATCACTAAAGATTTAGGAAATGATGATTTCTACAATTTTGTATAACACTTCAATATAAAAAATCGTCAGCCAAAAAAATACATTTTTTAAGTGACGTTCCAATGAGTAATTTAAGGATGATCCCCTCATCAGATGCGCCTTCTATCAACTAAAAACCAAATTGATTTAATTTCATCTTCATGCACTTTTTACTTTTTTTTTCCTGAAATTCACCCTTCTGGACCACTGTTCAATGACTTTAAATGCCGATTTGTCTCGCACCACAAAACACCCACGCAAACCAACTACACCGTCTGATAAAGCAAATTTGCTCTACTGTCGTACTGAACTCAATGAGTCTTAATCTGCGCCCATTTTACATGTTGCTCCAGAAATGTTTACAAACAACTTGCCATCCTAACCTTTCTCTGAATCACGTGCTGATAGTAGAGATCCATCATATGAGATTTTTCCAGCACGCTTTTGCCGGTAGCCAGTCGCATGATAACCACACCGGCGCGTAGACCAATCGCGTGTTCCCTTCTTTATTACAGCTGATTACCAGTAATTGGAAACGCATTCGGTGGCGGCGGGCCACCAAAATAAAATGTTTATCCCTGGTGTTTTTCGATGCCTTGCCGCGTTGTCTGGTTCAAGTGTAAGGTTTCGAACACTTGATGTAGTACATTGACACCGACAGGCCCAAATATTTGCTTGAAACGAGCGTAATTTGAACTTGTGAGTCTTACAACACGTATGGAACATACTGCCAGTCAGCGAGCCCTAGCCAGCCGGCTGTTCATAGTCCGGCTTGTAGATGTATGTCAAATGAATTATATTAAAGGGCAATCAATAAATATTGATAAAACAATCAGCGATAGTGGTGTGAACCAACGCAGCTTTTGAATCATCATCGAGCGAGCTTTGTTTGTAGAATATAGGAAATTAATCGAACTGTGATGATCAAGGGGCATTATCGAGTAAAGAATTGTTTGTGTTTCTTCGACCACCCTAACATGTCACCCATCAAGTGTGCTTGATCAACATTCCCGCTGATGATTAACAACAAAGCGCTAACAACACCACTTCGCCTTCTCGAAACAACGGAACGCGGGATGCGGTGAGGAGGTGTTTTATTGTTGGCAGCTTGTCAGCCTCAGCGCAAATGTGATTAGTAGGTACCTATAGCCATCACGTCGGCGAGTTGCCATGATATTGAAGCAGCAGATGCATGCTCCAAATGACACATGAAACGTGTTCTGCCTCATTGATTTCGATTAGTGGGTGCTCGCTCATGTGTAACCTTTCGACGCGTGTCACGATGTTTAATTCTTACAAGGTTAAAATTGGTCACGTACCGAATGGAAAAACCCTTGAGGGTTGAGGATTCTATTTACAGACGTGTGAAAGCCCCTTAATCCGAAGGTGCAAACGAGAAAATTACTTCGAATGCGTCTGTCAAGCTCGTGGCAAAGTCCAGGATGAATGGGGAATCTATCGTTATCGTGGATTGAATACAGCAGATACCAGGCGTATTTTATTACTCCTCACCGGTTTGGCGATTAGAGTGTAGCAACAGCGATAAACCAGTATGAAAGTTTAAGAAATTTGATAACAATTAATACCTTAGTGCATGAGTATAGGGGGTAACACAGCTGCACCAAATGGAAACTTCGACACGGGTACTAATTTCTTTATCAGACACGATTCAATTGTTTTAAAAGTTAATGACACCCCGCGTAGGTAGGTGTTTTCCAATTGTTGCTGGATTAGAATGATTAGAAGGTGAAGAATATGGCCAACGGTCAACATGTCGAGGCTAATCGCCTTGATTACTAAATGTATGAATGAACTTTGATTCATTTCAAGCAAGAATAGATGACGTACGTGGGGCTTCCAGTACTTAACAATGGATAATTTTTACATCTCGATCAACTATTTCTTAAGCTCAATTCTGCACTGAACTTTAAGAGCACAAAAGGTTGACTTTAATCTGTTTAAAACGTTATACAAAGGCGAACACTGTTTACATAATTCATGAGCAGGCACATCTTTGCTTCCGTTTTCCCTTTCCAATTGCAAACGCTTCCAATACAAAAAAGCAATCCAATATAAAAAAAGCATGCTGTGAGAAAACACAAAGTCGAGCATTATTTTTTCAAACTTCAAACACAAACAAACACACTCACACCGACGTACACAAAAGCTCTCATCTCATCAACCCGCGATCCTTGCCACCTCGTCCTTGTCCTGTCCTTAATCCTTCTGCCACCCACCGAGCCGAGAAAAAAAATCCATGTGAAAAACTCCACCATATGTCCAACACAACCACCAACGTAATAATGTAAACAGGTCAGGCAATGTGAATTTGTCGTCTCCCTCGTTCTCTCGCTGTGGTTGACGGAGTGTGACGTCAAACTCCGTAATTGATTCAAGCAGCGGGAGAACGAAATCCACATCAACCAGACCTGTTTATATCACATTGCCACACCACCACATCAATTTACCTTCGCTTCGATATTGTTTTCGTTCGCAGTTTGGCAGACACGACGCGACTAAATTGGCCCTAAATTGGTCTACACATTTAATTCAATTGATAAACTGCTCCTCCCTCTCCTGGTTCGCTGCTTCAGTTCCACCGCCGGCGACAATGGCACTCCTCAACAACCGGTGGGCTATTTTTGAACACACTGCAATAATCGTACGACCACTTCGTATCGCACTATTCTCACTGATTGCCCAATTGATCAACAATAATAGAAACTGCTACTGCCGGTGTTGCCCTTGCTACAAATCTGTGCCGCGAGCTGATAGCGTTGTTGCTCACTGGAGTTCACTGGAGAGCGGCACATGTATTATATCGGACGGTGCACGTGTCGTGATGCTCTCCGAAGCTTTCACACTTTCACACTAAAGTTTCTACGCACACAAACTTCCGAGTCCTGTTGATAGTTCATGGCATTCGTTTTGGTACAGGCAGAAACAACACAAGCGAGCAACACCCACCCAAACACCGGTGGTTCGACTAGCAACTTCGTTTCACCTTTCGGTACTAACTGATTGGAAAGGATCCGATCGTCACGAAACGTTAGACCAGTAGTTTCCAATGCACTCACTATGAATCCCGCTTCCAAGAACACAACAAAACCGCTTCGCACCGGACGCCGTCACGTTCCTTCCGTGACATGTTCTTCCCGTCTACTGCAGCTGAACGGAGGCGATTGCTGTGGTTTTGTGTCGCAGCAGCAGCAGCAGCAGCATGGCAATATGGTCAGCCAGCGAGCTTCAATGCGGGGCAGGGCAGCCAGCTTTGTAAGTCGGTGGAACTTGATTGTTGAAAAATAATTTTATGATTATTAAGTACTTAATGCAAATTAATTCAGCATTTTGCGAACCTTAGGTATTTCATGCCTGACTCCGTCGAATTAAACAATTAAGGAAAATAACAACTTCGCAGTTTCCTTTCCCTATTATCAACCAGTGCTCTTTTAAGAAGTGATTATATTGTCGTCAGACGTTTCGGACTTGAAAATTGGATGTTCTAGTCTAGTCTAGTCTAGTCTAGTCTAGTCTACACATACACAGCCAGTACTTGAAAGAATCCTGGAAAATGATACATCTATCATTTTTCTTGTCATTATTAATGCCTGCTGCACATCAAGGATGTGAAACAAACAATAAAGCGGCCAGGCCTACTGTGTAGCGTTTAGTTAATTTTTGTGGAAGTGAATGTTTACCATGTCTACTTAATAAGTATAGACAGTGGTTAACATTTAATCCACAGGTAATCAAAGAGCGGGGACATACCGTACCAACCGCTCCGTATGCAGGACGGCACCGCCAACCCACTGCCATCCCTCAATCGATCCAGCCGACCTCAGTCGAAGGACAACAGAGAGCGGTGTGCGGACGTAACCTATACGGAGGGAATGCTGTATTCGCCTAGGTTATAGCGCCCTTGCTCGCTACCATTTTCTTCTAGCGGTTGGGACCTGAGCACTAACTCTTGTCCTAGCCCTATATGGCATATGGTTATAGCGCCATTACTCGCTTTCTGAAAAGAGAAGAAGGGAAGGGAAGGAGAGGAAAAGGACTTGGGAAAAGGAAATGCGGAATTCCTTTCCTCATTAGTATTTGTATCGTCAACTTTTATGAAAATTATATAAATCATTTTTCCTTGGTCAGAGGTATTATTACGACATTTTAATAAGATTGTCTTATCATTTGTTATTCAAAATTTAATGTTATAATGATCAACATAGCTTTGGATTATCCAATATATTTCATAAAAAAAAAAAAAAACACATTTTTTAAGCTGAAATGAGTATTAGCAACCTTGTCATACAGATCTGAAAATTAAATCAGTAGCTTGCTTCTCTGCATCAGACATGCTTAGACGGCTTAGACTGACTCCACAAATCAATGGTTGCTACTCCGTGATTGGCCAGAATCAGTGAAATTGCACAGTGAATGGGGTTAGGAGTGACCGAAAATTCTCATTGTAGGGGAAATGGCTCTAATGTTGGCCTATGGGTTTAAGATTAGGCCCATAGCTAAAAATCTGCTTTTTATCAGTTTTATCTAGATGAACGCGTCATTGGGACGGTACTAATGGATATTTTTGATCGCTATTGAAAATTTAATCGATTGCTGAATTTATGTATGGGCCCAAATTAGGGTCATTTTTGCCGACATTGCATCCATTTCCCCTAAAAGTTTCAGTGACTCCTTATATTAAAGATCAATGATGACGCCGGCCACGTCTTTGCAACCAGGTGGGAGATGGGAAAGAAAGTTAAAGTGACCTTTGTTGTTATGGGGGCCGTGTTTACCTCTGCGTCCTCACAAAGGTCACAGGAGGGAGGTTTTGTTAGTAAGGTGGGGTTCTTTGGACCAGGATTCACCTTGATAAGTGATGTGATGATTGCTTTGATACAATCGCAGTTTGATAAATACACGAATGCGGAGCTATGAGAAAACGAACCAATATTATCAACTCTTTATTGTAAAGATGTCTGGGATTGAACCCATGATTTTCTGCTCAGTAAGCAGAGTAAAATCACTATGAACGACGATCGTTTTTGAATAAACGGATATTGAAATAACGGTTGATTATTTGAAATATACGTATGGTTCAACCAACACTATCAGCGGCGCCGGTGGTGTAGTGGTAAGCGTGATTACCTCTCACCCCAGAAGGCCTGGGTTCAATCCCAGTCGGCACCGCCGGGATGTTCTGAGGCATAACATCTCTGATCACGCCTTCCTTCGGATGGGAAGTAAAGCCGTTGGTCCCCGGTTCATGAGTTGATGGATCGATAGGTAGGATCCAGGCGTGGTAGCTGCCTCCCTGGCGTCGGTAGCATTGGTGCTCAGCACGGAAAACAAGATCGACGCAATCAAGGAAAAAAAAAAAAAAAAAAAAAACCTACACTATCACGAAGACGACGGCGATACGACAACAGTGATTTTGGATCTCACTTTTTGTCTAGGATATAACACCTTTGCCTGTACTGCCGCTTGGAAAGCGAGAAAATAATACTCTTTGCCATTTCGAAGAACCAATATTCCAACACCATTCGAACTTCTACTGGACGATACCCATTTTGCTTCGCGATCGCGAAACACGAAACTAAAAATTCTGTAAATTTGCAAACATTAAAACATTTAGAGATAGGTCTTTGCTCGTCGATTACCTTGCCCGTACTCGAAGGAAATCCAATGTAAGTAATGTTTATAAATACATAGGCGAGACCAAAACGGCCCCACGTGGCTCCTTGCCGCACTCTCACTACCAGTTCCGGGATTCCACGTGGCGTCCTAGACCATCCTACCCTACCCTAGTATATGGCAAAAAAAAAATTAAACTGGAACGAACTCAATTTAGTTGACTGTCCGTAAACTGGGTTCTTCTGCCGCTCTCGAGCTGGCATCCATGTTTCCGTTGGTCGGCTGCTTCCCGATGTGAAAGGGTTCTCAGGCCGAAATTGTTCGCAACGTCACACATTGTCGGGATGGAAGAGGTCTCGGAAAAGTACCGGCCTTACCTGAGCCATAACCGTTGGTTCCGTTACCACTTCTCGAAAACTAAACTGGGGATTGTTCTTCACTAAATGCACTTCAGAACGGGGAATCACGAGAAAACATCTTGACAGCAAAAACGAACGCGTCCGTTCGCCGGCACAGCCTACTTCCGTCTCGGACTTGAAAATTGGATGTTCTCAGGGGACATAAAGTTATGCCGTCTTTTGTGCAGCGATCTTTATCTCAAACTAGCCCTGATGAATATCTCATCAACTGGATCGAAACATTGACGATGATACAACTGTAATCAACACTTTCTTTTTTTTTCAGTCAAGACTATTCTGTAGTTTTCGGTGCTTCCCTGAAGTTAATGAAACTGTTCATCAGGCCTTAAATCTATCTATCTATATATATAAAAATGATTTTCTGTCTGTCTGTCTGTCTGACCCTTATAGACTCGGGAGCTACTGAACCGATCGGCGTGAAAATGTGTATTCATGGGTTTTTGGAGCAGGGAAAGGATTGTTTTTTAACTTGAACCTGAGTGAAATGATTTGTTTCTAAATTATGCGTTAATTTTCGGTTACGGCGTTCGCCGTCAAGAAAGGAATCAAGTTCTATACCCTGCCTCACATTCACACTTCTATCATCGAGGCTAATAGTCGCTCACACCCACAATTGTCATCGTGTTCGACGGAAACGAAGCCAAGAATTCGACGCTGCGCGTGTACTACAAGAAGCACAGGGATGCAAAATTGTGTATGCTGGATGATGATCTTCTGCTAGACTATCGGTTCACTCTGAACGAAGTCCTGTCTCTCACAACTTTCCGAATACGGAACCTTGCTCTGAGACTTAAACCCAAGAAGTCATCAGCTCTGTGTTTATTCGAAATGACACAGTTTCCGTTCGTCTCATTGATCAATCTAAATAAATAAAATAAAATAATTGATCAATCGCTAATCAACGATATCAATCAACTCATGGAACTCACTGGCTCGACAAAAGAAGGTGAAAATTCATCGCTGTTCTTCGACGCACAGTCCTCAGTTTCTTCGCTTGGATTAACACCCTAACTGCACTACCATTTCGACGACTTTAATTCCACCAGATGACTACCTACCCAAAACAACTTCGTATAGGAAATCTCAACGTTCGCAGTCTCGTACGACATATTGATGGTGTCAAGTTAATGCTCGACCGTGACCAATACCATTTCTTCTGCGTAACTGAGACTAAACTGAGACAATCCTCACCGGCTGGACCTATTCGGATTCCCGCCTACAAGTTTATTAAGCATTCGCTTTCGTCCGGACGTGGTAGGAGTACCAAGACGTGTGGAGGGGCAGGAATTTATGTTATCAAGGCGGTGCCGATTTTGAAATCAACTTTCGACCCAACCATTCCTATCACCCAACGGCTTGAATTTCTGGCCATCCAAGCTAGGTTTGGCGATACCAACACGTGCATCGTCGTGGTATACAACCCCTCTGGTTGCAACGCACTTTTTGCCAAACAATATGAAAAGCTTCTACTCGATCTGCTGGAACACCATTTTGACAGGATCTTCCTGGTTGGTGACTACAATATCAACGTCGCCGCGAGTCAACCCACTGCGAACCTACTTGCTTTTAAACGGATTCACACCATCTTCAATCTTACAGCTCTACTACCATTGATCTAATGGTAACCGATCACCCACTGTTCATCAAAAAATCCAAAGCTGTAAACGCGAACTCCATTTCCGATCACGAAGCTGTGTATCTTATCTCCACTTCGTCGTATGAAAGTACGGAATCTCGGTAGGATAGATCCCCTACGGCTGCAAGCTGATTTCCAGGCAAAGGACCTACAGCACATCTACCAAGAAGAAGACATGGACATCAAAACACAACTTCTCACTAGCGAACTTTATTCGCTTTTGAACCAGCATGCTCTGGAGCGGATAATTAGTGTTCGTGACAAACGCACGCCATGGATAACGAATGAAATCCAAGCTGCAATCACCTTACAGGACCTAGCCTATTATCTCTATGTGCGAAATCTGAATCGTGTCAGAGGAGATGCTCAATGGCGAGACTACATCTCCAAAAAAAAGTAGGGCCGGCACCCTAATTGGTGCTGCTAAGAAAAAGTATGCTGATTCGCAGTTTGGCATGGATCTTTCTGCTAAGCAGCTGTGGTGCAACCTGAGGAGAG